GCGAGACCCCATCTCTACTATAATAGAAGAAATTAATTGGCCAACTGTATATATACTAAAATTAGCGGGCATGGTGGCGCATGCCTGTAGTCCCAGCTACTCGGGAGGCTGAGGCAGAAGGTCACTCAAGCCCAGGAGTTTGAGGTTGCTGTGAGCTAGGCTGAGCCATGGCACTCACTCTAGCCGGGCAACAAAGCGAGACTCTGTCTCCAAAAAAAAAAAAAAAAAAAGAAGTTCATATAATAGTGATAAAGGGTCAGTGAGCTCATCAAGTGGAAACAAAAATCCTAAATTATGCTTCTAATAAAACAGTTCACAAGGATGGTGAAGAAAAAACTGTTAAAACTGTAAGGAGACAGACAAATCAACAAGTATTAAGTTATTAAATATGAAACATCTGATTTCTTTAAGTACTAAGTTTGAAGGTTGATGTTTATGACATTTCACTTTGACCTTTTTTATTTTTATTTGTGAAGGTACAACATCAGTTCTTTTATTCAAGTGCATGTTTTGTCTTGTGATTATCTTACAAACATTTTATAAGAACAGTTTTATGAACATGGTAAGTTAAAAGTTCATATCATTTTTTAATGAGTTCTGTCATGCGACTAATGCAGCAACGACAGCTTCAAGTATCAAGGAAATACTTGGATGGATGTGGGGCTAATGAATGAATAAGTAGGTCAATGGTTGATAAGTTCCATTTATATTGAAAAGTGATTTTAATATTGAAACGAGTCACATGGGGTGACCTGACATCAAGGGCGATAATGATGAGCTGAAAGATATATGAAAGCAAATCCAGCTCAAATACGCGTGAATTGCAGCAAGGTTTGACACTACTGTTCCAACAATATTGGACCATTTCAACACAAACTGGCAAGGTAAAGAGCTGGATAGATGGGTTCTGCATGAATTAAATGAGTGTCAGAAGAGAAATCATCTCAAGCTTGCCTTTCTTTGCTGTCATGACATAAAGGTGAGCCATTTCTACACATATTGTTATGCGTGATGAAAAAATGGATTCTTTATGAAATTGCAAGCTTTCAACACAATTGGATGGATAAAGATGAAGTTCCAAAAACACGTCCAAAGCTGAATATTCATCAAAAAAAAAGCTAACGGTGTCTATTTGTTGGTCCAGAGCTGGTATTATTCAACTACAGCTCATGAAACCTGGTCAATCAATTACCGCAGCTGTCTACTGAAAACCAACTGGACAAAATGGTGAGGATGCTTGCAATTAAGCAGCTGAGATTGGTCAATAGAGACAGCCAATCTTCATGCAAGACAACAACACTCACCACAGTCACACAAACAACACTGCTCAAACTACAGAAGCTGGACGTGGAAATCTCTATCATCCACTGTGTCACCGACCTCTTACACCAACTGACCACTTCTTCCGGCTTCAGCACTTCTTGCCAAGGAAAAATACTCAATCTCCACAAGCATTGTAGAAAATGCCTTTTGTGAATTTCATCCCCACCCCTCTCAGATTTCTTTGCTGGCTGGCATAAACAAGCATACCATTAAGATGCAAAACTGTGTCAGTAGTTTAGGTTCATATTTGTTGATTGTACTGCTTCCTGTTTCAGATATATAAACTTAACTTTGATTCGAATTGGGACATTTCATATTTAATGACCTAATATAATAGACATTTCATTATTCTCTCTCAATAATTGACGAAGACAACACAGAAAAGCAACAGGGAATGGTAGATTGGAACATATCAGGCCAACTTGACTTCATTCAGTTATGGGACACATTGAAAAATGGGGAACATTCATTCCAATGGCAGTAAAATTTTATCTTTGTACATAGGGGAACATTGACAGCGTTAGACCAATTTCTGTATGGACCATAAGACAAACTCATCAATTTAAAACAGTTCAAGTCACACAAGCATTGTTTTTTGACAAAAATAGAACTTTAGAATCCACAGATGATTGAATTACATTGTCCAAAGTAGTAAAAGTTTGAAAATGTATGAGTACTAATAATTGAAATTATATGATTTTTGGAACTTATGAATCAAATTTCTGTTAATTCTAAACGTTAAGAATATATATTTCATTAAGCCAGAATAAATTTTTATCATTAAGGCAAAAAGTTTTTAAGCTGCTTTATTAACTTGAACATTAAAATTTTAAAGCAGAATAATTATTATGTCATTCTCTATACTTTAATAAATTTCTTACCAGTATCACCATTTTTTTTGTTGGGGCAGAGTCTCACTCTGTTTAGGTGTGGACTTATACCCCATCCCTCTTCCCCCTCCACCTGCCTTACACTGGATGATGGAGTGTACTGACCACATCGTAAGTTGATCAATTAATGTCCAATTTGATGATAGTACATGGTGGTGCTTGTTTTCTTCTTGTAATAGAATGGGCTCCAGGTCATCCATGATAATACAAGAGGTGCTAGTGATCACCAGTTGGTTTTCGTGGACTGGATTGACTCACTGGTAAGCCGTTGTTATATATGGCACATTTTTTAAGTTCCAACTATATTGATGGTATCTCTCTTACTCCTGACCTTGAGCAATCCGCCCGCCTCGGCCTCCCAGAGAGCTAGGATTACAGGCGTGAGCCACCGCGCCCGGCCCAGATGTCTTTTTTTATATAATGTCTTTTTTTTTTTTTTTTTGAGACAAAGGCTCACTTTGTTGCCCAGGCTAGAGTGAGTGCCGTGGCATCAGCATAGTTCACAACAACCTCAATCTCCTGGGTTCAAGCAATCCTACAGCTTCAGCCTCCCAAATAGCTGGGACTACAGGCATGTGCCACCATGCCCAGCTAATTTTTTGTATATATATTTTTAGTTGGTCAATTCATTTCTTTCTATTTTTAGTAGAGACAGGTTCTTTCTCAGGCTGGTTTTGAACTCCTGACCATGAGCAATCCTCCCACCTTAGCCTTCCAGAGTGCTAGGATTACAGGCATGAGCCACTGCGCCTGACCTATATATAATGTCTTTTTTTCCCTTGGGGTACATGCCCAGTAATGGGATTGCTGGATAAAATGGCAGTTCTACTTGTAGCTCTTTGAGGTATCTCCATATCACTTTCTATAAGAGGTGGTACTAGTTTGCAGTCCCATCAGCAGTGTATGAGTGTATGAGAGACAGTGTTCCTGTCTCTCCACATCCACACCATTTGTTGTTTTGGGTCTTGGAGCAGTGGCTCATGCCTGAAATCCTAGCACTCTGGGAGGCCTAAGCGGGAAGATCACTCAAGGTCAGGAGTTCAAAACTAGCCTGAGCAAGAGCAAGACCCCGTCTCTACTAAAAATAGAAAGAAATTAATTGGCCAACTAAAATATATATAGAAAAAATTAGCCGGGTAGGGTGGCACATGCCTGTAGTCCCAGCTACTCGGGAGGCTGAGGCAGAAGGATCACTCAAGCCCAGGAGTT